CGTTCTTTTCCATATCCCATTAATTATTTCCCAGTGAAGCAGATAGCTTCTCCAGGGCGCCGTCTTCATTTTCGTAGAGCAACATTTTATGAATATAAAAATAAAATATGCGTTACTTTCCATTAAGCATATCCATTTACAGTCAGATGCTTTTATTGCACAATTAATAATAATAATAATATAATAATAATAATAATAATAATAATAATAATAATAATAATAATACAGCATATATCATGTATCCCATTTGAGTTGATTATATTGACATCTTTACGTTTCATCGTCAAAAATAGACTGGAATTAAAAATATATATTCACACATCAATAAATAATAGATTAACATTACTTGTTATAATTCTTGTCCAAATAATATTAATTTCGTTGCCAATCTCTCCATCTCGTATCGTTGAATATCGGGAGGCTTGCACAAGAAGTCATATCCTATTTTATTTAATACGACTAAATCACCGTTTTAGTAAACGCTTTCAATTCGGATGCCTTACACAATTGTAGCAAAAAGAAAAATCAAAAGAAAAGAATGGCCAGCGTCATCACTTTGATCAGCATACATACATTTTGATGAATCCGTCATCTTTATTTCGTTGAATTCTGAGATCTAGCGCCTCCAGATACTCAGACGCAATATATTAAAATTGATCTTTTCGTTATTAGCAGCTTCATCATGATGGATATATAAGGAACAAGTTATAACTTACAATAATTGTCCATATGTACGTCTCTTTTAGGTGTTGTCCATGCATGTTTGGTCCTATATGAAAAATCAAAGACGACATGTTTGATATTTTTTCTTTTCTTGGAATCCTCATAACTGATACACATCTAATATGAATTGTACTGCGTTGCGTACTAGATCGAGGGTATAAGCCAAGCGTGAATATTCATTTATGGCTTCTTCCCACACTTGGTTTCTTTGATTAGCTTGTTGCAGGCTTTGCAAATAGTCTCAAGCGCGCAATATATATATATATATATATATATCTATGTATATAATATTCATCTTATCCTATTTATAAGTCACTTTTAACACGTTTCACATGGATTAAAAAAACATTAAATTTCATTAATTCTTACTCTTCTCATCCTATTTATAAGTCACTTCTAACATGTTTCACACATATAAAGAAAAACTTTAAATTTCATTAACTCTCATTTAAAATTCAACAACTTTTTAACTTTATCCTTAGTTAATATACATTATACTTCATGTAAACAAAATTAAGACAATAATAAATGAATGGTAAAATTATACGTCTATGTAAAACATTTCTTAGTACCCTATAATATGACCAAAAAATATTCTTTATTTGCCCCATAAATAGGACCAGAAGAGTATTTAAAATTCAACTGCTTTTAAATTTTATTCTTATTTAATATATATTATACCTCAGAAAAAAGTCAATATAATAACAAATGAAGGATAAAATTATATATCCAGATAAAAAATTTCTCTCAATACTTTATAAATAGAACAAAAAATGTTTTATTTCTTTATCCTATAAATAGGGCAGAGAAGTAATTACAAACATGGGCTGTAAACACATTAAATTAGAAATGAACGAACTCAAAGTCATGGTCAAGTAATGAGAATAACAGAAGGAGGCGTTTCTGTGACTAGCCAGCAACGAAGCCAAAACGAGTGTCAACGGCTCTTAACCCACCATTTCGCCATACATATCTTGTCATATCAAAATGACACACCTCTTATTTCTCATGCTTTATTGCTTTCAAACTCTCACCTCGATTTTAGAGTGAAAGCACAATTGAAACTTTGAGCTAGTTTGCGTGCCTCTATGAGTTATTGCCTCGAAATTTCTCTACATTTTTACGTGATTGAGCAGTCTTCCATGGCTCCAACAACCCCTGCGTCCATTGAATGATCTAGCCACACATTACCATTTGGTCTTAAGTCGGCTTTCCAAGCAATCCTTAGCCCAGAAAATAGATTCAAGACTTTGTACCGGTAAAATCTCTGTTCCAGCAGGCACGAGGAGTAATCAGATGCTACTGAGCTTCAATTTAGGCAGCTAGCTGTGTATAAATAAGAAAAGTAGCTAATCTCATCATATGTGAGCCAAATCCAAAATGAAGCCTCCAAACTCTTACGTTTCTGTTGCTTTTGTTGTTTTAATTTCGTTTGCGCTGGCATCATCATCATCCCCTCATGAAGACTTCCTCCAATGTCTTTACCTTCATTCCCCAAACGCCACCTCTTTCTCTAAGCTCGTCTTCACCACAACCAACTCCTCTTACTCATCCCTTTTACACTTTTCCATTCACAATCTCAGATTCTCATCCGACACAACTCCTAAACCCCTTGTCATAGTCACACCTCTCCGACCATCTCATATTCAAGCTTCCATCTTTTGCACCCAACGTCATGGATTACAGATTCGAACCAGAAGTGGCGGCCACGACTATGAGGGCCTCTCCTACGTCTCCCACCACCTTCCGTTCATCGTCCTCGATCTCATCAACCTTAACTCAGTCCAGGTGGACCGACACAGTGCTACTGCATGGGTCCAATCTGGGGCTACTGTTGGTCAAGTTTACTACCAGATTGCCCAGAAAACTAAATCCCTGGCCTTCCCTGCGGGTGTGTGCACCACTATTGGTGTCGGTGGCCACTTTAGCGGAGGAGGTTATGGCTTCTTGATGTGCAAATATGGTCTTGCCGCTGATAATATAATTGATGCCCATATAATTGATGCAAAAGGAAGGCTTCTTGATAGAGAATCCATGGGCGCAGACCTGTTTTGGGCCATCAGAGGAGGGGGTGGAGCCAGCTTCGGAGTTATTACTGCATGGAAGATAAGGTTAGTTTCTGTACCGCCAAGCGTGACGGTTTTCAGAGTTCCAAGGACATTAGAACAAAATGCGACCAAGCTTGTTCACACCTGGCAATCCGTCGGAAGCAAGCTTGATAAGGACCTGTTCATCAGGGTCATATTGCAGAGGGTGAATGTGAACAACAGGACAACCATACAAGCTTCATTTGAGTCTATGTTTCTGGGAAGTGAGGGAAAGCTGCTTCCTTTGATGCAGGACATGTTCCCCGAACTGGGCTTGGTGAGGGAAGATTGTGTTGAGATGAGCTGGATTGAGTCAATCCTTTACTTTGCCAATTTCTCAAGTGGTTCCCCTCTTGAAGTTTTGCTCAACAGAACTGATCTAACTAATGGTCTGTTTTTCAAGGCGAAATCGGATTATGTGAGAGAAGCCATTCCAGAAGATGGTTTAGAAGGGGTATGGACAATGTTTTATGAACAAGAAGCAGAGTTTGCCATTATGATACTAAATCCTTATGGAGGAAGAATGGATGAGATTCCGGAGGATGAGATTCCATTCCCGCACAGATTCGGGAACCTGTACAAAATTCAACATGAGGTGTACTGGCTGGAGGAAGGGAATGAAGCAGAAGAAAGGCATATTAATTGGATTAGAAGATTATATGCTTATATGGTACCATTTGTTTCCAAGTCTCCCAGAGCCGCATATCTGAATTAGAGATCTTGATATAGGGGTTAATAAAAACAATGGTCATACCGGCTACGACCAAGCCAGCATTTGGGGATCCAAATATTTCAAAAACAACTTCAAGAGGTTGGCATACGTGAAGACTAACGTTGATCCTCTTAACTTCTTCAGGAACGAGCAAAGCATACCTTCTTTAATACCCAGCCACTAGAGGGTATATCACATTGCATGCTCGCTCCATTGAGCACTAATCCCTGGACCATCATATGTTTAATTAGTTAGATTATTCGTTTTACCTTCTTACTGCCATGTTGATTTTTCCGTAATTGCATTCCGTCTGTGTCACCACAGTTTGTCTCTGTTTTACCTTGGTTCCATAATATTGTTAGTTACATTTGACCGAAATGATTAGGCTCATGGAATTTTGCGTGTTAATATCCTAGATTTACCTTCATGGAGATTTGAGTTGAGAAAGGTCTCAATCTTTTTCCCCATATGAATTCAATATTACCTCCCCCAATTCAGATTTGAATTTTGTGGTGTAGGGTAATTTTTTCATGTGATTTTGTGTTTATAAAATCCCACCACGCCTGCACACAAGAAGAAAACGAAGAGGCCAAACGACATTTGTTCTCCCATGATCACATCACGAATAGTTGTTTAACGCCATTTAAATCTTCCTTCAAGACTTTCTTTAAAATGCTCTATTATTCTGGTGGACCCTTCTTTAAATTTCACAGGAGGAGGATTTTGTGGATTCTCACATGACAGTTCTATGAACACAAGCCAAGATTATCACTCAAGCAAAGCCTCAAAAGAAAAATTTAACATTTAAAATATGATCAGATATTGGTACATGAAAAAGAATAAACTTTGAATGTCACCATAAGCAAAAATAATTAATTTAAAACCAATGAAAGAATTTCTCAAACGCCTCAACAGCATCAATTACAAACTTCTTCACAGAATTCTTAGGACGAGTTCTTGTTGGTCTTGTAACGGTAGAGAATCCTCCTCTTCTTGTTCGATGTGTTCTCAATAGTGAGGACAATCTTTCCAGGTTCATTATTCGTGAAAACGTTTCTAACAGGCCCTTCTTTTGAGCCCATCTTCTTCCCTTTCTGAACTATGACTATATAAGAACCCTCATCGATGGGAACAAATTCCTCCCTGTAATTCACCTCCCAACCCAACACAGTCAAATCCCAAAACGACGTTTTTCTTGGGTAAACAGCAGACATTTTTATCTATGATGTTCCTGTTTCTAAACCTAAATTGAAAGAATGTGTACACAAGTTGGTACTACCTCTAATGCGGGAATTTCAATGGTTACTGTTGATCCAGCCTTGAGAGTAATTTCAGAAACAGAGCCATCTTGGGCAGAAAATTCAGAGTCGTTTTTCCTCTCGAAACCACCGTAGTTAACAGGGATCTCCTCAATAGGAATGTACCTGTTTTCAAGAAATGAAGATAAAATCGATTCTGAGTTCAGAGTGAAGGGCATTTCAGTTTTGTCTTCCGCAGACCTTTGAAAAATCTCCTGTATAACTATGATACTTGGAAGTCCAATTTATTCGAATTTCATCATTTCACGTGAACTAAACTCTTCACGAGATTGAAAGAATATCACAATTGGGATTAACAGAGTGATGAAAAAGTTATTTGGATGAGGCTGATGGTGATGTTCGAATCAAGTAAACGTTGTTTTAGTTTTAGTCAACTTGATAAAGAATGGGATAACAGACATACTTGAGCGGGGTTTCGGTGACCTTCGCAGGATGAGCAACCACAAATTTGCTCTTTGTTCTTTGTGTTAAGAAAGGAGATAGAAGGGCATTGAGAGCATAGTACCAGAAAGGCACATTGATGAAAATCTACAAACACAAACACAAGCGCAATGCTCAGTTATTCTGATCAACTAGAGACAGGAACACACAGATTGGTCATTGAATATGACTGACAAACTTACATTTTTGGCAACCATTTCAGGGTAGTTGTCCTGCAAAATGGCAAGAGCTTGCTTCGTGGCAACTCGGATCTCCTTTTTGGCCGGACCAGGGGAGTTCTTAAGATCATTGATCTGAAGCAAGGAAGAAACACCTCCGGGCTTCATGTTCAACTTCTGAATACCCTCCTCCATCAACTTCAACCTCCATCTCAAGAACTCAATTCGCTTCTCCTCAGTCCCAAATGTCTTATGGTACATGTCTTGGCTGTCGAACACCCCAAAAATGTTGTAGCACGCGGGATGACCGTCGCGATCCACGCCGTTCATGTAAGCAGCGGATCTCAGATCGGAGCCAAAATCCTCGTCAAGAATGGAATCGATATTGGATTCCTTGCGCCATTTAAGCGTCTTGGTCAGCATGTCGAAAGCTTCATTGACTTTGAACTCCCTAGCCCTCAAGAACTTGAGGAGAACAACGTCAACACCCTTTGCTCCTTGGCTGGGCAAGAGAGGTACTCCCCACAGAGAAATACCCTTGTGGTGGATTTCCACCGGTTCAACTCTGTTACCGTCATGAGCGTCAGCAGCATCCTTTTCTTGCCTGGGGAACAGAGTGCTTCCGGCGATGGCTTCTTGGAGCTTAGATTTGAGTTGGTTCAAGGCGTTTCTCTCGAAGTCTTTGAGATCAGAAGGGAAGTTGCTTTCTTCCTTGTAAGAGGAGCTCTTGAGGACCGTTGGGGGTTGGGAATCGGTGGGAGGTGGTGGCTGTTGTTCAACAAGCGCCTCAGCGGGGTGGGGTTGTTCTCTAGTCATGGCGAGGACTTGGGGGACAGAGAGGGAGAGGAGAAAAGGAAGAAAATGGAATGAAGTAGCATGGATTGTGCCATTGTGGGGAGTGGGTGGGAAGAAAGATATAATGAGGCTGTTGGCTTGTGAAGAATATGAAAGGAAAAGGAGGAGCAACGGCCACAAAGCAGGATGCAGCCGCTGTAATAGGGTGACATGGGCATCCCGAGAGAAATGCCACTCTGGAAAGCAACCATTGTATATTACGAGTATATTATACTCCTCCGGTCCTAATTATAAGACCCAATTGACTTATTTGAGGAGATTAAGGAAGTAAGTTAAGTTGGTTATTTATAATAAATAAGTGTTGTCATTCCTAAAATATCCTTGCTAATTAAGTATATTGGCTAAAACTATCATTATTAGAAGGATTATCTTAGAAAAAAATGCATAAATATAAGAGACAAAATAGATTGGGTCTTATAATTAGGACCAAATAAAAAGTCAAATTGGGTCTTATAATAAGGACCGGAGGAGTATTATATTATAAATGCCTCTCACTCACTTTTTAGTCAACAACGCAACGGTCCAACAAATATGAAATAACATAAGAGTAAAAACAATAAAAAATAATGGGACTATAAAAAAAACTAGTCAAGTTTTCCAGAAAGGATATTGATTCATATTTATTCATACAATAAAAATATTTTTGTTAGACGAAACTCAAAATTATTCATTAAACAGACAAATAGAGAAAGAGTATAAACTTAAAACAAATATAGTGACGATGAAGACGAGTACAAATCTAGGCAAATATGAGCATTTGGATGACAACACAATGAGAGCTTGAAATAGCATGGATTTAGATGCGATGAACACAAATCTTGACTTCATGAGCATAGATCTGGATGGATGTGCACATATTTAGATGGTGTGAGTATGGATCTCTACCTGACAATTATGGAGAAGTTGATGAACCTAGAGAAGATGACGAGTATAGAGAAGATGATGTGCTATAAAGGATGCGAGCATCATGAAGAGGTTACAATACAAAGGAGAAGAGTATGAAAAAAAGAATTAGTATCAAGGTTACTGGTGAATGAAGCATAGAAAGGAAATTATGAGAGAACTTAGAGAGAGTATGAGAGAATGAAATTTGGTTTAGAAGAGGCAGCCACAAAATGAAGCAGGTTCATCTTTTAGGTTTTAAATCACCTTTTGAAAGCTTATAAATATTATTTTTTTAAAAAAAAGATTTTGAAAACTTTTTACATCAGTTGTGAGATTGTAGGAAATCGGTCTAAAAACTTTTAAATATGATTTTTTTAAAAATATATTTTAAATGCTTTTTACGCCAGTTTTATATATGCTGAATCGGTTTAAAAATCTATCGATATTTACAAAAATGCTACCGGTCACATTTTGTATACTGTTGCCGCCATAAATGATATAGATTAGACGGTGTAGAAATGGTTTTTTCTAGTAGTGGAAACACCAAGACATCCTATTCAATTTTTGTGTCTTCTTACCATTCATCGGCGAGGCTTGCCAAATTTGTTAATTGTTATTGTCTTGTTCTTATTAAATTCATTTGTGCTAAAACGCGCAAAATATGCGGGGAGTAGTCTAGGAAATTAATGAAGTTGAATTTATCTGACAACGAAAAAACATCTTAGGATTTAAAAAAGATGAGATAATGTCCAATTTTATTCCGGAACTAGGAGCTATGAGTATTGAGAAATTTTTTTAATAGCAATGTTATTTCAAAAATGTAAAAAACGCAGCTATGTTATCCTACCATTTGAGATGTTTATTGTGACTGTTAAATTTGACTGGCATCACCACTATTATGTTCCACCTAATCCCTTCTGTTCTCCCCTCTCATCTGATGAACCACCACGGATTGTCTCTCACTCTTGATTCTTTTCATACTCAGACCATGCTTTCCTCCTCAGGTTTAGCTATCAATCTCTCTCGCCCCTCTGCCACTGCCTCCCGCCTCCCCGCCGCCAAAGTCGGCTTCTTCTTAAATGAAACCAACATGGGGACGCCACATGAAAGGGAAGACGTGGATGATAATGAAAAGAAGTTTTGTTTAAGACTTGTGTTTGACACTTAGGTTGCTTAGCAACTAGCCTGTGTTGAGAGTACAACATATTGTCCCCGCAACTATTAATCCTGAAAAAAGATTTGAAATGGAAAGCATGGAAGTGGAAGGCAGTAATTGTGGTGGTAGGTGGGAGATGTCAGGGGGTGCTTTTTTTTGGGGGGGGGGGGGGACAATAAATTTGAAAAAGATCAAGATCAACCATCCCCTGCATATAAAATCAGTCTGATTTCTTTTCCTTGCTCATCAGATCCGGCTATTCACCAAGCTGATTATTTCGCACATTTCGTCCTTTGAGTCTTGGCAGGAAAAGAATTACAAGCATGTTATCATTAGTAGCTAATCTAATGCCTATGGCTCTTTGAAAACCAGTCTCATAAAACGTTCCGGGATGACATATCTGATGACATTAAAGTTTTGAACTTTTGAGAACTCCGCTCTTATTTCTCCGTCATGAGCCTTTGAACGTGTCAACAATGAGCAAAAACATAACGTTTTAGGATGTTGTGAGTTTCATGGCCCCCGGATCTATACAGAAAAGACGGGTTTCTCACAAAGTAATAGAAGCAGAGAAATTTAATGCCTCACTCGCGGCTGACAATGGAAGATCCTTTACCATTCAATGTCGGCCATTCCTTCTAAACATCAAAAGTGAGAAGGGCGAGATAGATTGATAGGTAAGCTTGAGAAGGGAAGCATGCTGAGGGTGTGAGAAGAATATGAGAGAGAATCGACCGCGATTCATCAGAAAGAGAGGGGGGCAAAGGAATGGACTGGGTGGAACATAGTAGCGACTGCCACCTAAGATGCTAGTCAACATTTTAAAAGGTGTGTATAACATTGCTACATTTTTCATATTTTTGGGATAATATTGTTTTTTGACAAACTTTGGGATACCCACGGTTTCCAATTGAATACTTCCGAAGCAAAATTTAATCTTAGCCCTAAAGAAAAAGAAGATGTTTCGCATAAATTTCGTGGAAGTGGAGGTTTAGCCACTGCCTGGCTGACCCTGCCGTACCACTTCATTATTCACATTCCTTTGTTAATTAGGTCCACCACGTGATTCCCCCTCATTCTCTCTCTTCTTCATTCCCTTCTCTCTCTCCACTTTGCCCCTTTTACACAATTCCCCCTCACTTCCGCAAACTGTTATTCAGTTTTCAGTCCGCAGAAACAAAATATATAAATGATTACGAGCATTAATTTAACGGATCCAGCGTGATTATATTTTACTATTCTTTCACTTAATTCACTTTTTGCTTTTCATTGTGTTCACATAATTTTAATTCGATGGCCATGAGATGATGGATCTAATTATAACTTTGTTTTTTCCCGACAGAATGGCAATGACCAGATTTCTGGTAATTACGGTTGCCGTGGGGAATAGGAATTCCACGGGAAAAAAAAGAAAAGAAAAGAAGAGGAAGACAACAAAAGGGTTCATCCTCAGAAGATGTTATGTGGATTTCTATTCCGTGACTCAAGCGTATCTCCTCCAACCTCAAACGTTTTGAAATGGAAAGAATAAATAAAAACAATATAGAATGGAAAATTGATATGCGTGGTATGACATAAATTTTGGTGAAAAATATGCCGTGAAATCTATTTAGATATTTAATAAATAAAAAATTAATTTCCTTTCTTTTTGGGTGGGTAAGTGTTGCACGCACACACACACACACAGATATATATATCCAAACACTTTCTATTTAAATCTCAAAAAGTCCAACACCGAATTTAATTAACGTAATAAAATAAGACGTCAATTGATTGTTGAGATGCAGACGCGTTTGGCTCTCCGCCACACATACATTGCAGATTACCTTTATTCTTTCGTTTTCTTTGGGGGATAAGGGCAAATTAATTAACGAGTAGATGATGAGAATAAGAGAGTACCGTGATAGATGAGTTTGGAGGCATTTGGTACGAGGGAAAATAAGAGAAGGGGAGGAAAAATTTTAACAAGCTCAATTTAAAAAATTAAAAAATAGGGTTAAAAATTTTTAATTAATTTTTATTATTCTTTTATATTACTTCTTGCCTTTATTAAAATTTAATTTCAAAACCCCACTTCTTTAATTTTTTAAAAATAGAGCTTATTAAGATATTCCTTCGCCTCTCCTTCCCTCCATTTCCCTCGTAGCAAACCGTGGGTATATATAAATATTTGGTAAAATGAGGGGTGGGACATTAAACGTCCACTACCGTTCCAAGTTGTGCCCTTGAAAATGACGCTAAAGAATATTCTTCCATTCGATCTAGTGAAGGAGTCCAAAACGGTCATCTGGCCGCCACTACTAACTAATAACAAGGTCTTGCCATATATACTTTACTAATCCCAGTCAATATCCATCTGCCTCCTCACTTCCATCTCATTCATCCATCTCTCTCCACATCCATATGGCTCTGCATCTGCTCTTCATCTCTCTACTTCCACTGGCGGCATTGGCATCTCCTAATTGTAACTCCACTTGTGGAAACATCACAATCTCTCCTCCCTTCGGAATGAATGAACCCCGCTGCTACCACAACGAGTGGTTTGAGATCAATTGCTCGCAAGACTCTGCTGGAATTCACAAGCCATATCTCAAGAAGATTCGACTGGAGGTCACCAAATTCGATTACAGCTCCTGCAAGGTCTGGGTCAACAACCCTATATACTCATGGCACTGCAAAATCCCCGCCACACGTGGCGGCGCAAATGTAAGTCTTCCCCTAAATATGACTGCCAGTCCTTTTGCTTACTCTCGGGAGGACAACGTTTTTCTGGGTGCGGGCTGCGACACACAAGCTCTTCTTCTGCAAGGCTCCCACGACGGCGTTTTCGGCGGCTGCGTCTCCATTTGCAGCAGCGTCAACCTCAATCATTCCGCAATTGGAGGTTGCCTGGGCCAGTATTGCTGCACCGCTTCCCTGCCTAGGGGTCTGTCGGAATATAATCCCAGAATTGAACACGTGGCAGGAAATCATGGCGATTGCAGTTATGCTCTTATTGTTGAAGACAAGGGCCAAAACGATTGGGGCAGCAGGATTCTCAGTTCGTTAAGTCATTCGAGTAGCGTTCCTGCAGTGCTCGAATATTATAGCGCCTGCAATGTCTCTGATATTTTGTCTTCCGAGGCGCTAAACTCGCCTCTCGCACCTCAGTGCGCTAGTCCTCTGTTCCCCGGCGCCAATCCTTGTGGTTCTACAGGTCCGTACTATGTGTTTGGATAAACCCATTTTTCTTACTCATTGATATTCTGGTGCTTTTTAATTGTCACAGAAGGATTTTGGTTTCTTTTTATTTGTGGTAACTTGTACTCTTTCTAATGTTTTATTTTTAACTCTGTCTTTATTAATTAAGGGAGATAAGTATAAAGATTAAAAAAATAAATGTGTAAAAAAAATATACTAACATTTAATGAGGATAAAAATATAAGATTTTATATATTTAATAATTTTTTTAATATGTAAAAAACTGTTACAAGTAACGATTGCAAAAAGATCAGAATGGTGCTCAAAACGTACAACTTAGTTCGGTTTTTCAACTTTCAGGTGGGCGAGGCAACTCGAGATCCAAATCTCAAAGCTTGTCGGTGATAGGTACGCATATTATTCATGTGAATGTACTAAATTCTCCTTCCAGTGACTTTCAGTCTAGAAATGATTGCATACTTTGATCCGTCTACGGTTACTCATCTTTTAAAACAACGTCTGGAAATTAGTTGGCTAGGATTAGTTTCTTTCTGTTTTCTTTGTTAAACATTAAAGTTACTCTCATTAAAAGTCATGTTAAAGAAGTCTGATTAATTATTTTGAAAAGAGAAAATTTAGTGGTGAATCATGGCACGCTACACGACAATTCTCGCGAGGCGGCTCTTTTTGCTTGACAAACGTGTCACACGATTAGACTGATTGGAATATTAGTTCCAACCCAATTAACAGCTCTCATTCATGTGGACTTTTTTTTTTACCAGAACATTCATGTGGACTTTCCTGCATCCAATGTGCCTACTTTTCATATTTAAATGAAACTTGTCTATTGTCTGTCTGTGTTGGAAAGTAATTTTTTTGGGAGGGGAATATATTCATCAAATGTGTCTTGCACATGAAAAGAATTTTTACAACAAAGTGGCCTAAGTTTAGACATGCAACTAGTTTCATGACTCATAATATATAAGCATTAAATTTGGATCACCTATATAGATATAGATGGTGTAGATTAAATTTTTTTGTGCTTTTTTTGAATTTTTTTTTCTTTCAATGCATGTATAATCCAAAATAAAAATAATCTTTTGAATGATAATTTTTCAAAAATATTTTTTAATCTAGAAATCATTAGTTAAAAATTTTAAATCTAAATCATTGAAACTATATTCAAATGGTGTAAATCTCACTGTGATGAAGAGTACCATAGTACTCATCATTGCCATGAGCACCAAAACTAACTCTGTTTAGGCATAATCTTTTGCAAAGTTCTTTAATTTCTATGTGCCAGATAGTTTCAGTGCTTATCACAGTGGTAATAATCAAATCTTGACTATTCAAATTTAATATGGACGGCCAAGATTTAATATTTAATATAAGTGTTTCTTAAAAAATATTTTTCTTTTAATAGGTACGTAATCCAAAATAAATGCAATATTTTAATTGTAAGTTTTTCAAAACAAATTTTTTATTTAAAATTTACTAGTTGAAAATTTTAAATCTAGAATATTAAAACTAATTTTGAATGATTTAGATTTCATCATGGTGATGGGAATCATAGTGCTCATCACTGCGACAAGCATCAAAACTGGTTTTGTCATATAAAGACTGCTTACATTGATGAATTTTGACTCCGTTGCAAAGGAATTATCAACATTTTGGTCCTCACTTGAGAAGAAGAAGTTTTTAGAATAGCATATCATAGTCATCAATATCACAAGAGTCATGTGTATATGGAACCAACGTATTGATAATTCTCTGCATAAATCCAAATGTCATTCTCCCTATAATTCTTTCATGGGGTCTGCTTTGTTTTGTAAAATGATTATCTAAAACACTCGAAAGTTAGTTCTGAAATTATTTTAGTTGTTTATTTCAATTAAAGATATTCCACACTCTTTTTAATTAAATTTGAGTTCGCCTTGTCCTAAAACAATTTAAGAAGTTGGAGTCCATTTGTTTGTTTCATTTTGAAAATTTTATTTGAAATAAATAAACGGCATAGGTCAAAAAAATTTCTTTACCCATTTTTTCAAAGAAAAAAGTATAATTAAAATGGGGAGAGAATTTTTTTTGGGACTTGTATTGATAAAGATGATCAAGGAGTTATACTTTCCCATATAGTCTTGTGGTAGGCCCTGTTCCTGGTCAGAAATACAATGAAATCACCTTTCCTATTCTTTCCCCCGACCCCGCCATTAGGAAAGATGTTCACTTCTTAAAATATCTAGGCCGGAACAGGGGAAGGGGGCAGATTTATCCCCATCGGAGCAAGAGCAATAATAATGTTTTATAATGCTACAGTAGCACTTGTGTGTTTGTATTTGACGCTCTATTAGTAACCGCATGTACTTACATATATGTCTATAGGGGTGGTTTTCTCGAGCCTAGTATCCGTTGTTTTCCTGGTGGGCGTGTGGATCCAATACAAAATCTTCAGGAAAAGCAGAATAAACAAACGAAAAGAGAAGTACTTCAAACAAAACGGCGGCTTGCTGTTGCAACGGAGCTCGTTAAATGGCGACGTCAGCTTCGACAAAACCAAACTGTTCGGCTCCAAGGACCTCGAAAAAGCCACCGACCGCTTCAACGTTAATAGAGTGCTGGGAAAGGGAGGCCAGGGCACTGTTTACAAGGGCATGCTCGCCGACGGTCAAATTGTTGCCGTCAAGAAACTCAGACTCCAAGGAAATGTTGAAGAATTCATCAACGAAGTGGTTATTCTTTCTCAGATTAACCACAGAAACGTGGTGAGGTTGTTAGGGTTTTGCCTGGAGACACAAGTTCCTCTGCTGGTTTATGAATTCATTCCAAACGGTAACCTCTACGAGCACCTGCACGAACAAAATGAGGAGATCTCAATGACGTGGGACGCTCGTTTAAGAATTGCCGGCGAAGTTGCGGGAGCTCTGTTCTACTTGCACTCGGCTGCTTCGCGGCCCATTTACCATAGAGACATCAAATCAACTAACATACTGTTGGATGACAAGTTGAGAGCAAAGGTTGCTGATTTTGGAACCTCAAGAATGCTGTCTATGGAAAAGACTCACATCACGACTCAAGTTCAGGGAACTTTTGGGTATTTGGATCCTGAGTATTTCCACACGAGTCAATTCACCGACAAGAGTGATGTGTACAGCTTTGGGGTTGTTCTGGTTGAACTGCTGACAGGTCAAGTTCCAATATCATGTGGAAGGCCACAGGAAGCTCAGAGTCTGGCTTCGTATTTCATAATGTGCATGCATGAAGGGCGTTTATGTGAGATTGTGGACCCCAGAATCACGGAGGAGGCGAAAGAAGATATCACGGCGGTGGCACACCTGGCAAGAAGATGCTTGAGCTTGAATGGGAGGACGAGGCCGAGCATGAGAGAAGTGACTGCGGAATTAGAAGGGATTCAGAGACTGAGAAGCAGGTCGTGTAATATGGACCCACAAATTTACGAGGAAATTGAGTTGGGGGCAGCATTGGAAGGCTGCCAGATTTGGGGTGCAGATTACGCGTCATCCGCATCCACTCTAAACACCGCAGCTTCCCACTCATCGTCCCAGGGCTTCCTTGTTTCGGAAGACAGATAAATTGTAGTGATCTCGAAGATCATGCTCAACTTTTATGCGTGTGTACATATTCCACGGTTTTTATTCTAAAAGCATATATATATATATATATATATATGAGTCCGGGGACTATTTGTGATTGATATATAGGTTGGAGTCATTATTAGTTTTCTGGTATTTCGATCACTCATGTCAATTTAGTGATATAGCTTATGGCATCTCATAGTTGACTTATCAGTGTGTATAGATATTAGTGCCCTCTAGCTTTCACTCATCCAAGTTAAAGGGTTCCTTAATTTCAGGTCTGCGTTACCTCCTTCACTCATCAGCTTCATTATTGTCAGTCACCTGTGTTTCATGCAGCACTACTGTCATGTCCATCAGCATGCATGCGTGTGTTTGGTTTTGTTGTGTATATCATCATCTTCGGTCAATATATCAATTCTTTTTCGTCCTTTTTCTTCGTCCATCTTTATTCTCATAAATTAATCTTTCATTTTCTTAATAGGTGTTCTCCTTGTAATAATTGCGAACAAAGACGTACGGGAGAAGGCTAGGTTTCATAAGCAATTAAAAAAGGATTATAAATATGATGGGCAAGAGAAATTGAGTCACCACATGCTTAATTGGCTGATGAGGATCAATGTTGAATGAAAATGACATGCATGGTTGTGGGGGAAAGTGTACACGATATCATTACTGCTAAATTAAATAATTAATTTTCATTTTTCATTTACTTAGAATGACAAATATTTGTGGAAGAACTGTACCATATAACAATTTTGATGTGGCTGGCACGCGTATGGAGATGGCTCATCAGAAAACAAGCCCCCCATGATCTATGAATGTGACACATAATTTCACACTCCTTTAATTTTTATGCACTAGTATGTTGCATGATTATTTAATTTGTCAGTGGAGTTAAATGTAGTGTGTGTGTGTATCTTCCTCCTGTAGCCAGCTCATCAACCTGGTTCTCCCTATTCCTCTACCCTCATCCTCATGCCCAGTCTGATTCTCTCTTCAAACCCTAGATCCCTAGTCCTCATCTTCTCCCCTTAATTTCTCCTTCACTGCTTCAATCGCACCATGAATTAATCATATCGTCCTTTTTTTTATTTTGTTTTAAAGGCGCATGTTCAATTCAGCAATCCCTGGAATCCAAAATTTATTATAATTCGAATTTGAGATCATCTATTTTCGTGTCTGACATGCTTTAAGGGATATACACGCAAGAATATATTAATAACCAAAGTATTAATGTGTTAAACGAGTCCATGTGTCAAATTCTGATTGGAGATTCGATCATAACGCGAAAAATTGGTAGGTGTATACACGACACACACACACACACACTCGAGTGAAGCTTATAGGATAATTTAATAATAAATGGGTTTGTGTGTGTGTGTTGTATTCCAATAAAAGGATATATTCGAGAAAAGCGTCAATCGATTTATAAAAGTTATACTGAAATAAAAGACATGGATGCTTTGATATAAATTTGCAGGCGACACATCAATAATATATATTGATTTTACAAGATATGGCGGAGTTTATATGTGGACGTACGTGGTCGTAGTTATTATTGTTGGGGATGGATACAATAAGGGGAGAAATTAAAAAGTTGAACAAGGCTTAACATAGCAATCTGTTGACCTTAATATATTTATTCCTACTTAATGAAAAGAAGCCAATCAATCCAGACAAACAAAGCAGTCCAATCTGAACTAGTCTAGTTTGCGTATATGAGCTAGCTAATTTAAATAATTAACAGGCGGGGCGGTGTGTCCATGATCTATCCCTTGCGATTTTGGGGCAGAGTAGGGATGCTTTGTTCGTTTCGAAAGAAGTTGGAAGGATCAACGTCGGTCTTAATTCGAACCAACCTGTCGAAGTTGTCCTCGAAATACTCCACCCCATAAACTCTGCCTTCTTGGTAGCTGTTCTTACCGTTGTGGTTGATGCCCAGGTCAAGATCCTTATAGTTGAAGAATGCTCCTCTAGGGTTCTTGGACACAAACGGAGTCATGTGCTTGTGAAGTTTTCTTGTCAGCTCTATGTAGTGATCTGCTACCTCTTTCCCGCCTCATTCCAGTTCGCTTGATATTGCACCTGTTGTTATCAGAGAAGGACAAACTTGTGTGAGACGATTATTGCGTATTTACATATATGTGTGTGTGTGTGTGTGGTGGGTGTGCGTCATAAAATTGATTCAAAGGCATTTATATACCTTCCACAAATTCCCAGCACGATGAGGGAAAGCGGTTTGCGGAGGCCGGAATTTCAGCCATTCGTCCGCCATAAGGATTGAAATATAGAATTGTGTCCTCCAATTCTATCATCTTCTTCCATATCCCCTCCAAATCTTGTTTCGGAATAGGTTCCTTCACATAGTCAGACTTCCTTTTCAAGTAATTCAGTGACTGAGGCGTCCTATCAAGTAAAATCTCAGCCGGTTCTGTAATATTAATGTTTGTCCAAAACAACACCGATTGAAGCCAGCTCGTTTCTATGCAATCTGATTGCTTCAAACCCAATTCAGGAAAGCTCTCGTTCACGATAGAAAGAAGCCTTTTGGAGTCACCAAGGAACATGGCTATGAAGGTGACCCTCACAGTCTTTGTCCCATTTTCAGTACCATTGACCACGTCGATGATAGCCCTTATGAAAAGGTCATTATCAATACTAGGGGCAACATGCTGCCACTTGTACAGTATCTCTGTGGCATTCTGCTCCAGGGTCCTAGCAACTTGGAAAACAGTGACCACCTCCGGGACTCGAACCAGCTTCAATGTGTAGGATACCACAACTCCAAAGCTAGCTCCCCCGCCACCTCTAATGGCCCAGAATAGATCTTCATCCATAGATTTTCTATCGAGTAATCTTCCATGAACGTCCACTATCTGTGCATCAGTGACGTGATCCACGGAGAGACCATATTTTCTCATCATATTCCCGTACCCACCACCACTTATATGTCCTCCCACACCAACCGTGGGACAACCCCAGCAGGGAAGCCATGGGTTTTACTCTTCTCAGCGATTCTGTAGTAGACTTCACCGAGAATCGCTCCGCTTGAACGGAAGCCGTCTCGCTGTCTATGTCAACCTGGATGGATCGGAGATTGAACATGTCAAGGATGAAGAAGGGGAGCTGAGCTCTGTAGGAGACACCCTCATAATCGTGACCTCCGCTTCGGATTTTCATGAGCAGGTTGTGCTTTTGAGCACATATAACGGCGGCCTGGACATGGGAGACATGTAAGGCGGTAAGTATAAGGTATGGTTTTCGGGTATAGGAGTTGTTGAAACGGAGGTTTCTGATGTAGGCTTCTAGAACGGAGGAGAAAGAGGCATTGCTCGGGATGAAAATGGCTGAGGTTATGGGGTGAGAGGGTTCGGAATGGTTTACCAGGCAACGGACGAAAGTATTGCGAGAGGAAGAAGGAGAGGAAGAAGCAGAGGTTTGTGAAGGGAGGGAAAGAAGCACAAGAAGGGAAAGTAATGAGAGTAATGGTAGTATCGCTGAACGACCCATGTTTAATTTGATGGGATTGGGGATAATCCATGGGGCAATCTGTATTGGAATTTATAGAGATCTGCGGGTGATGAACAATATGTTATTAAAAAAAAAAAAAGAAGATGATCATTTATAAATTATAAGCTATTTCCCAAACTGACCAACAACAGATTACGTAGCAGGATTATGCATTGACCTGCGACTACATGATTAAAACATTTTTATACTTTAATTTGGGAGGGACGGCGAGGGGTGTGGAGGTTTGTGTGAAAACGTACGCCAACAGCAACAGATACTGTGTTGTGAATTCCAATAGCTTAATGTCACACCCTTTATGGCTTTGGATTCACTGCCAAAAACTAAAGATCACAGACTCTCCAGAGTTGAAGGGTCGTTCATAATAATGAGCATATTATTAACCTTAGCCTCGCCTCTCAGATTTGCTTCTCCTATTGTCCACTCTCTTTCTCGTCTTTACATTATACATCTTTACATCTAATAATGGGTATATAATTATGATAATAAATCTTTAAATAAATAAGAACAACTTTTTTGTCTGGTAATATTTAGGGATGATTGTTATATCATTAGCAGGCAGTAATACTCACCAAGTCTAATACCATCGCGTTTTTTTCCATATCCCATTAATTATTTCCCGGTGAAACAGCTAGCTCCTCCAGGTCGCCGTCTTCATTTTCGTAGAACAACATTTTATGAATATAAAAATAAAATCTGCGTTACTTTCCATTAAGCATATCCATTTACAGTCAGATGCTTTTATTGCATAATATATCGTCAATTATTATTATTATTATTAATACACTATATATCATGTGTCCCATTTGAGTTGATTATATTGACATCTTTACGTTTCATCGTCAAAAATAGACTGGAATTAAAAAATATTCACACATCAATAAATAATAGATTAGCATTACTTGTTATAATTCTTGTCCATATATATAATTTCGTTGCCAATCTCTCCATCTCGTATCATTGAATATCGGAAGGCTTGCACAAGAAGTCATATCCTATTTTATTTCATACGACCAAATCACCGTTTTAGTAAACGCTCTCAATTTGAATGCCTTGCACAGTTGTAGCAAAAAGAAAAATCAAAAGAAAAGAATGGCTAGCATCATCACTTTGATCAGCATACGTACATTTTAATGAATCCGTCATCTTTATGTCATTGAATTCTGAGATCTATCGCCTCCAGATATACAGACGCAATATATTAAAATTGATCTTTTCATTAGCAGCTTCATGATGATGGATAAGGAACAAGTTATAACTCACAATAATTGTCAAATTAAGCGTACTTTATTTGGACTTTTGAATTGGATAATGGATACATATCTAAATATATTCCATCACATCATCATTCATTATTGGCTTTCTGTAAACTAAATCTCATGTCAATTCTTCATTCTTCACTAATCATCGCGAGTAATTTTCCACAAATAATAAAATGATGGGCTGCTTAGAGTTTAATTTGAAAACTCTTTCCTGTTCTATATAGCCATGCAGACTGATGTCTTGGTTAAACTGATCATCTAGCTACTTGGGCATGGGCTTGAACTCACTTAGCCCAATAAGGGTTAACCAGGTAGCAGAAGTCATTAACAAACTCAACAAGTAATTAAATTAGCAATTAAAATTGCAGTCAAATTGGTATTGTGGAAGGGAGGGTCAAGTTTGGCGTGCTTATAGCGAGGGAATTCAAATCATCCATATTTACGGCTCTTTCAAGTGTTGTCCATGCGTGTTTCCTTCTATCTGAAAAATCAAAGACGACATATTTGATTTTTTTCTCTTGGAATCCTCATAACTGATGCACATCTAATATGAATTGTATTGTGTTGCAAACTAGATCGATGGTATAAGCCAAGCGTGAATATTCATATGTGGCTTCTTCCCACGCTTTGTTTTCTTTGATTAGTTTGTTACAGGTTTTGCAAATAGTCTAACATAAATCAAGAAAAACTTTAAACTTTATTGACTCTCATTTAAAATTCAACAACTTTACAACTTTATCTCTAGTTAATATGCATTTCATATAAACAAAGTTAAGACAATAATAAATGAATGGTAAAATTATACATCCATGTAAAAAAAATTTTATTGCCCTATAATATGACCAAAAAATATTCTCTCTTTGCTTTATAAATAGGACTAGAGGAGTATTTAAAATTCAAAAACTTTTCAATCTTATTCCTATTTAATATATGTTATACCTCATGTAAACAAAGTCAATATAATAACAAATGAAGGATAAAATTGTGTATCCATATAAAAAATTTCTCTCACTATCCTATAAATAGGACAAAAAAAGTCTTCTCTCTTTTGTCCTATCTAAATAGGACCCGAGAAGTAATTACAAACATGGACTGTAAACACATTTAATCAGAAATGAACGAACTCAAAGTCATGGTCAAATGATGAGAACAGAAGGAGGCATTTCTGTGATTAAACAGCAACGAAGCCAAAATGAGTGTCAATGGCTCTGACCCATTATTTCGCCATACATATCTTGTCATATCAAAATGACACGCCTCTTATTTCCCATGCTTTCAAACTCTCACCTCGATTTTAGAGTGCAAGCACAATTGAAACTTTGAGCTAGTTTGCGTGCGTCTATAAGTTATTGCCTTGAAATTTCTCTACATTTTTACGTGATTGAGCAGTCTTCCATGGCTCCAACAACCCCTGCGTGCATTGAATGATATAGCCACACATTACCATTTGGTCTTAAGTCGGCTTTCCAAGCAATTCCTTAGCCCAGAAAATAGATTCAAGACTTTGTACTGGTAAAATCTCTGTTCCAGCAGGCACGAGGAGTAATCAGATGCTACTGAGCTTCAATTTAGGCAGCCAGCTGTGTATAAATAAGAAAAGTAGCTAATCTCATCATACGTGAACCAAATCCAAAATGAAGCCTCCAAACTCTTGCGTTTCTGTTGCTTTTGTTGTTTTAATTTCGTTTGCGCTGCAATCATCATCATCCTCTCATGAAGACTTCCTCCAATGTCTTTACCTTCATTCCCCAAACGCCACCTCTTTCTCTAAGCTCGTCTTCACCACAACCAACTCCTCTTACTCATCCCTTTTACACTTTTCCATTCACAATCTCAGATTCTCATCCGACACAACTCCCAAACCCCTTGTCATAGTCACGCCTCTCCGACCATCTCATATTCAAGCTTCCATCTTTTGCTCCCAACGTCATGGATTACAGATTCGAACCAGAAGTGGCGGCCACGACTATGAGGGCCTCTCCTACGTCTCCCACCACCTTCCGTTCATCGTCCTCGATCTCATCAACCTTAACTCAGTCCAGGTGGACCGACACAGTGCTACTGCATGGGTCCAATCTGGGGCTACTGTTGGTCAAGTTTACTACCAGATTGCCCAGAAAACTAAATCCCTGGCCTTCCCTGCGGGTGTGTGCACCACTATGGGTGTCGGTGGCCACTTTAGCGGAGGAGGTTATGGCTTCTTGATGCGCAAATATGGTCTTGCTGCTGATAATATAATTGATGCCCATATAATTGATGCAAAAGGAAGGCTTCTTGATAGAGAATCCATGGGCGAAGACCTGTTTTGGGCCATCAGAGGAGGAGGTGGAGCCAGCTTCGGAGTTATTACTGCGTGGAAGATAAGGTTAGTTTCTGTACCGCCAAGCGTGACGGTTTTCAGAATTCCAAGGACATTAGAACAAAATGCGACCAAGCTTGTTCACATCTGGCAATCTGTCGGAAGCAAGCTTGATAAGGACCTGTTCATCAGGGTCATATTGCAGAGGGTGAATGTGAACAACAGGACAACCATACAAGCTTCATTTGAGTCTATGTTTTTGGGAAGTGTAGGAAAGCTGCTTCCTTTGATGCAGGACATGTTCCCCGAACTGGGCTTGGTGAGGGAAGATTGTGTTGAGATGAGCTGGATTGATTCAATCCTTTACTTTGCCAATTTCTCAAGTGGTTCCCCTCTTGAAGTTTTGCTCAACAGAACTGATCTAACTAATGGTCTGTTTTTCAAGGCGAAATCGGATTATGTGAGAAAAGCCATTCCAGAAGATGGTTTAGAAGGGATATGGACAATGTTTTATGAACAAGAAGCAGAGTTTGCCATTATGATACTAAATCCTTATGGAGGAAGAATGGATGAGATTCCGGAGGATGAGATTCCATTCCCGCATAGATTCGGGAACCTGTACAAAATTCAACATGAGGTGTACTGGCTGGAGGAAGGGAATGAAGCAGAAGAAAGGCATATTAATTGGATTAGAAGATTATATGCTTATATGGCACCATTTGTTTCCAAGTCTCCCAGAGCCGCATATCTGAATTACAGAGATCTTGATATAGGGGTCAATAACAACAATGGTCATACCGGCTACGACGAAGCCAGCATTTGGGGATCCAAATATTTCAAAAACAACTTCAAGAGGCTGGCAGACGTGAAGACTAACGTTGATCCTCTTAACTTCTTCAGGAACGAGCAAAGCATACCTTCTTTAATACCCAGCCACTAGAGGGTATATCACATTGCATGCTGGCTCCATTGAGCACTAATCCCTGGACCATCATGTGTTTAATTAGTGAGATTATTAGTTTTACCTTCTTACTGCCATTTTGATTTTTCCGTAATTGCATTCCGTCTGTGTCACCACCATTTGTCTCTGTTTTACCTTGGTTCCATAATATTGTTAGTTACATTTGACCAAAATGATTAGGCTCATGGAATTTTGCGTGTTAATATTCTAGATTTACCTTAATGGAGATTTTGAGTTGAGAAAGGTCTCAATCTTTTTCCCCATATGAAATCAATATTACCTCCCCCAATTCAGATTTGAATTTTGTGGTGTAGGGTAATTCTTTCATGTGATTTTGTGTTTATAAAATCCCACCACGCCTGCACACAAGAAGAAAACGAAGAGGCAAAGCTCCCATGGTCACATCACTAATAGTTGTTTAACGCCATTTAAATCTTCCTTCAAGACTTTCTTTAAAAAGCTCTATTATTCCGGTGGACACTTCTTTAAATTTCACAGGAGGAGGATTTTGTGGATTCTCACATGATAGTTCTATGAACACAAGCCAAGATTATCACTCAGGCAAAGCCTCAAAAGAAAGATTTAACATTTAAAATATGATCAGATGCATTATTGGTACATGAAAAAGAATGAACTTGGAATGTCACCATAAGGAAAAATAATTAATTTAAACCAATGAAAGAATTTCTCAAACGCCTCAACAGCATCAATTACAAACTTCTTCACAGAATTCTTAGGACGAGTTCTTGTTGGTCTTGTAACGGTAGAGAATCCTCTTGTTCTTGTTCGATGTGTTCTCAATAGTGAGGACAATCTTTCCAGGTTCATTGTTCGTGAAAATGTTTCTAACAGGCCCTTCTTGTGAGCCCATCTTCTTCCCTTTTGAACTATGACTGTATAAGAACCCTCATCGGTGGGAACAAATTCCTCCCTGTAATTCACCTCCCAACCCAACACAGTTAAATCCCAAAGCAATGTGTTTCCAACCTGTTGATCAACCACAATCAGCAAGCGACGTTTTTCTTGGGTAAACAGCAGACATTTTTATCTATGATGTTCTTGTTTCTAAACCTAAATTGAAAGAACTTGTACACAAGTTGGTACTACCTCTAATGCGGGAATTTCAATGGTTGCTGTTGATCCAGCCTTGAGAGTAATTTCAGAAACAGAGCCATCTTGGGCAGAAAATTCAGAGTCGTTTTCCCTCTTGAAACCACCGTAGTTAACAGGGATCTCCTCAATAGGAATGTACCTGTTTTCAAGAAATGAAGATAAAATCGATTCTGAGTTCAGAGTGAAGTAAGGGCATTTCAGTTTTGTCTTCCGCAGATCTTTGAAAAATCTCCTGTATAACTATGATACTTGGAAGTCCAATTTATTCGAATTTCATCATTTTACGTGAACTAAACTCTTCACGAAATCGAAAGAATATCACAATTGGGATTAATAGAGTGATGAAAAACTTATTTGGATGCGACTGATGGTGATGTTCGAATCAAGTAAACGTTGTTTTAGTTTTAGTCAACTTGATAAAGAATGGGATAACGGACATACTTGAGCAGGGTTTCGGTGACCTTAGCAGGACGAGCAACGACAAATTTGCTCTTTGTTCTCTGTGTTAAGAAAGGAGATAGAAGGGCATTGAGAGCATAGTACCAGAAAGGCACATTGATGAAAATCTACAAACACAAACACAAGCGCAATGCTCAGTTATTCTGATCAACTAGAGACAGGAACACACAGATTGGTCATTGAATATGACTGACAAACTTACATTTTTGGCAACCATTTCAGGGTAGTTGTCCTGCAAAATGGCAAGAGCTTGCTTCGTGGCAACTCGGAGCTCCTTTTTGGCCGGACCAGGGGAGCTCTTAAGATCATTGATCTGAAGCAAGGAAGAAACACCTCCGGGCTTCATGTTCAACTTCTGAATACCCTCCTCCATCAACTGCAACCTCCATCTCAAGAACTCACTTCGCTTTTCCTCAGTCCCAAATGTCTTATGGTACATCTCTTGGCTGTCGAACACCCCAAAAATGTTGTAGCACACGGGATGACCGTCGCGATCCACGCCGTTCATGTAAGCAGCGGATCTCAGGTCGGAGCCAAAATCCTCGTCAAGAATGGAATCGATATTGGATTCCTTGCGCCATTTAAGCGTCTTGGTCAGCATGTCGAAAGCTTCATTGACTTTGAACTCCCTAGCCCTCAAGAACTTGAGGAGAACAACATCAACACCCTCTGCTCCTTGGCTGGGCAAGAGAGGTACTCCCCACAGAGAAATACCCTTGTGGTGGATTTCCACCGGTTCAACTCTGTTACCGTCATAAGCGTCAGCAGCATCCTTTTCTTGCCTGGGGAACAGAGTGTTTCCGGCGATGGCTTCTTGGAGCTTAGATTTGAGTTGGTTCAAGGTGTTTCTCTCGAAGTCTTTGAGATCAGAAGGGAAGTTGCTTTCTTCCTTGTAAGAGGAGCTCTTGAGGACAGTTGGGAGTTGGGAATCGGTGGGAGGTGGTGGCTGTTGTTCAACAAGCGCCTCAGCGGGGTGGGGTTGTTCTCTAGTCATGGAGAGGACTTGGGGGACAGAGAGGGAGAGGAGAAAAGGAAGAAAATGGAATGAAGTAGTGTGGATTGTGGGTGGGAAGAAAGATATAATGAGGCTGTTGGATTGTGAAAAATATGAAAGGAAAAGGAGGAGCAACGGTCACAAAGCAGGATGCAGCCGCTGCAATAGGGTGACATGGGCATCCTGAGAGAAACGCCACTCTGGAAAGCAACCATTATATATTATTACGAGTATATTATATTATATTATAAATGCCTCTCACTCACTTTTTAATCAACAGCGCAACGGTCTTATGCATCGTGTTATATATATATATATATATATATGTGTGTGTGTGTGTGTGTGTCATATGTGCTGCTACCTCCTGTAATTAATATAAAGCCCTATTTGATTTTTATTTTGATCCTAAATATAACACCCTAATTCATTTTGTCTATCATATTTATATATATTTTTTTAAAGTAACCCTTCTAACAATAATAATTCTAGTCAATACACTTGATTAGTAAGAATATTTTAAAAAAGATAACATCTATTTAAGACAAATAACTAACCTAATTTACTTTTCTAATCTTCTTAAATTAGTCAACTGGTTCTTATAATTAAGATAAGAGGTAGTATTTTCTATACACCCTTACATAAGGGGGGGAAAAGGACGATGCAGGCGCATATACAAATTTATTAATAGCCTTTTAGGTAGATTCAATATTAAGATTTTTTTTTTTGCCAGCAATTCAATATTAAGATTTAAACGTACAGCGAAATTAAATTCAAGCTCATGAGTCATGTCATGTGACCTTGTTTTGGACATGTGGCAGGCACGTTGTAGGGTAGCAAGTATAGCAATGAAATAATCGTATCCTTATCAGAAAACACAGTCGCACCCGCTGACTGATCTAATAGATGGTCAATTTGAGAAAACGCATACTTATTTTCATTGTTGCTTTATTCAGCCGACATTAAATCATGATTGCGTATCTATCTATGATTCCCCAAATGAGTTTTGTCGAGTGCTGGAGTTGTGCTGTATGTATTTGTTTTGTTCGTTCTTGTTTCATTTCCGAAAAAAAGCAAGCAGCATCATACAGAGCCTTTAATTCGCATGTCGGGGAAATAGCGCACTCACGTGCAGATTGGATGTGTAGATGGTGCACATTGCAGTAAACAAAATCAAGCTAATAGCGGTCGTGTTCCACGTACGAGTAAGCCGTCCGTATCACCACCATCCACAAGCGGCTGTGTACGTAGGCAGGGAATTAGGATGATCCTCCCACGCTCCAACGTGACTGCTTCAGAAGCTGCTCCTCCTCCCGTCCCATCCACACACACACCCTTCTCCATCCTTCCCGCTCTCAGAGACGCAATCGCGGAGCATGTCTACCGCTAATTAAGAGTGGGATGCGCGTGCGTATTTGTTCTATTTACCAAAACGAGGGAGTACGATGGAAAACCATACTGTACTAGAAAAAATTATAAAAAAAATTAATTATTTGTTTTCTGTAGTAGAATTTTATGGAGCATGATGGAAAACCATTTCCACCTATTTTGGTGGAAATGGAAATGGAAAACTTTTCAATTCATAATACCAAAGAAACTTTATCATGAATAATACTATAATGGAGTAAAATACAATACTAGAGTAAAATAAAATATATAGAATAAATTAAAAAATCAAATTAATTACAAATAAAACGATGAATGCTCTGTAGGTGTTTGTTTTGTTGTCCCCAGGCTGATTTCGAACTTGTTTAATAGAATTGTTGGAGGCAACACACTCACATGCAGATACCAGATGGAGAAGAATACAATGTCCACTAGAGTATTAGTGTATATCGTACATAGCTTTAGGCCTTAGCCTTTAGGTGTGTGCATGTAAATTACACTGAAAGAAGGAACACGTGACTCAACCTCGAACCCACTTAAACGAAGCCTTTCCCCCCCAGGTTTCCTCTTCCTTGGCTCTTGTTACCAGTTGGGGTGGTATGATATGAGAAGCAGAAGCAAGAGAAGGAAGAAAGCGACGCCCCAAGGCGAGTCCCCGCCATGAGCACCACTCAGCTTGGGTGGCTCATCCTCAAGTCCATGCCGAAGGCGGCCATATCTAAGAACAGAGTAAGCCACCCACATCAACAAGAGCGGCACCAATATGTTGATGGATATGCTGCCACCGTTAGAGCTCCTTGGCAACCACAGCCAGAAGCCCACTATTCCTGCTACGGCCATCACCTGCGCCGGCGGTGCCCTTATCCGCCACTCCTCACTTATTGCTCTCTCCATTTTTGCGCTTCGCTCTTCTATGCCCCCACCATAAATAGTGTCTTATGGCGGTGACCTCAAGATCCTACCTTTCGCCCCACCCATTTTAACTCGACACTTGTTTTTTGCCTCGTCCCACCCGGCTCTAAAAATGATGCAATCTTCCGTCATATTTTGGACACTAGCTCCTACCGGATTGACTCAAATGAACGCACTCAAATGTATCCCCACCGCCCTGCCTCACCCCTACTTCGAGGCAGACGAGGACATCTATTCCGCAGCTCTACGGCCTCATCTCATAATAGTTACTTCTCTATTAATTATAATTAGTCACTTCCTCTATATGTAATTGAAAACATATGGATTATTAACTATAGTCGAGTCATCAAATATTTATTCTTATGTATATCCTAAGGCCCAGCAGGAAATCATAATATTTTATAAACGTGTTTTGAACAAAATGAAAAATAACAAAACAGAAAGGGTATATTTATATTTATATAGTCGCAGTTGCTACATGAATGTATAAAAGCCACCTATATCAGTTATCAGCTTAACAGATTATACATCCCTACATGAAAGCAACGGTGAGGCCTTCCTAATGCCACCCATAACCAGTATGCAAAGGGGGTTAACATGGCTCTGCATTTTCAACTATTCTCTTCAAGGCATCGGCTCCCGCGCATTTCAAAACCTGTGTCCATCAGCCACAAAATGCAATTAGCATACCGTCAAGACAAGTATCTTTTGCACTCGCAAATGACAGTCAAAAAGCATCAGCCTTAAATTACATTGACCCCCTGAAAATTTCATTTTCTAAGATGCCCAAAAAGCCTTCAATGAACAGAAAGTTAACTTCCCAGTCCCTACAAAGGGGAATGATTTATTCCAGCATATTTAATCAGTTGCCTACGTCACATACCATAACAATTATCATTCTTTTTTTTTTTTGGGGGGGGGGGGAAGGCAGCGGGGAGGGGAAGAAATAGACATGAAAAACCAGAGTTTTACATCGTTAGCATCCTTGAAAAAGCTCTGTTTATCTGTCTTCGGCCAACGTACCTGCCAACACCTAAAAGTTCAGGGGCAAAAAAAAAAACAAAAGCACAAAACATTAGATAAAATGAAGTAAGGCCTATAAATAACTGAACATTATAGATTATAGTCCACAAGCTTCAAGTTGGGTGAACAACACAGAACGCATGACCACAAAAAGCATCGACTATGTCCTCAGCTCCAATAAAATTGTGCTTGGTTCCGAAGGGAAAGAACCGTGACCTCATTACTTAGATATGCAGCATAGCCGATGCGACAAATTATGATCAAGCATGATAATGGAGAGAAACAAGAAAATTAGAAACGATCTCTATTTCATCAACAGACTTCAGTGCATGGTATGTAGGCATATACAGGGACCAACCACCGTATAATAAAGCCCCATAGAGCAATACGCTAACAGCTAACTACTTCCTATAGTTAGTTATCTTTTTATTTATCTCTAACATGTATCACATGAAACTCAAATTTGACGCATGAAACAGTGGGCTTTTCATCTCTAAGCTGCCTTTAACTCATTTGAGCTTCAATCGTCATGCTTTGGGTCAGGGGAGCAATCTGTCCATGCAATATATGCACATAAAAAATAAACTACATTTATATAGCACGAAAAATAAATTACTGCATTTATATGACCTTTCTCTCCCAAGTCGACGCGCTAACTCTTTAGCTAAAGCTTGGCCTGGTGGGTCACTATCAGTTGCCAAGATGATGCGATCTACCTATAAGAACAGAGAATAAGACAAACTACTTACGTGCTCAATTCTGTTTCAAGATATTATGGGAAGGGAAGACGCCATATCCTTTACCTTATCTAAGTACTCTTTGCAATTCCACAGGTATTGATATCCAGTATCCTAACTTCATCAAGACATTGGTACACAAATTAATAGACTGAATAGATAAATTAATTGACAATTCACTAAATATTCAATGAAAAGAACAGACAATACAGAAACTTCGAAGGAGGGTGTCAATAGACACAGATGAAATGAGAATGTAAGTCATGAAAAGAGATAATCATTGCGCACTTTATTTTCTGCACTTTTGTACATAGGAAAAATTTGTATCAATGTGTATGACTTCACAGGCCTTGAGGTTGCAAAATATGTGTGTGTGTGTGTGTGTGTGTGTACAAAATCACAAAAGGGTCTATAGTCCACTTTCATAGACAGAATCATCAGGGTCAAAGATGGGATAGACATGTACAATTTGCACAAAGGCATCGGTAAATATGAGTTCTTCATTGGCCCCATAGAAAAAAAGGAAAGAAAAGAAAGGGCAGAGGGAAGCGCATACATTCGGAACACAGATTGTGAGTGCTCTAAACGGACAATTTAGTCCAAACATTGTCAATGAACAAGCTAAGTGTGTGTATAAGGTTATTGAAATACACCAAAAAGGATAAAAACAAAAGAAGCACCGGCAAATCATCTATGCCAGCGAGACTATAATATAAACATAAACTCTCAACAGCCACAAATCAAATCCCGTCTTCTTCCTAGGCATAAAAAATGAGTTTGTAAATCACACTGCCTTCTCAAAAACTAAAGTCAGCATCGTATCCCAAGTCCTGACAAGTTCCAATATGAAATCAAACCTTTTCTATTGGCGGCAAATCTTTTGAGGAAACCTTTGATGGTGCTCCCCCTGGAACACTTACGCAATTTTGATAGCCAGCCTCTTCTAATGAAAGCTTGTCTATTTCCCCTTCAACCTAAAATCAGCACGAGATTGTATCAAAATATTCACCTCTTTTCTTTTTATTATTTTATCTTGGAGAGTGGAAACATCTAAAGGTGTGAAATTCAGATAATATGTAGAGATGGACAAAATGAACGCATGGAATTTACAATGATAATTTCAGCTGCATCACTGATGTCATCAAGTCCATACAAGATCTTGTCTGTACCTTTTCCCTGTACATCAAAGTCAGCATTTTCAATGCACATCAGATAATTACGATGAAGATATTATTTTCAAATTAACCTGTCCATAAAAGTAATTTTACTAAGTTGATAAATTCCAAGGCTTACGTTGATACAGGGGCCTTTATTCAATTGGCCATAATGATAGATATACTATGATCAAATGTGACTATAGCCTGTTGATTCTTAAAGGTTTGGTTGATCATTAATGCTAGAATCAAGGAGTAATGCTTACTGACGAATTATTTTGAGATGCCCATCTACTATTCACCCAAAAATAAAGGCTCCGGAGAAGTAAAGGTCCAGACCAATAAAACTTCCATCTCCCTTTCTTTAACTTCCCCCATTCCCTGCCCTTCCTTCTCTCTACAACTTCCGTCTGTCAACTTTAGCAAAATCCTTTTAAAACAAAGAATAGAGACAAGTCTTCTTAGAATTGTACAAATTAATGCTTGAAATGTGTTTTTGACAACCACTATATAAGTGCTACCCACTTTTCTGGTTAACACTGCGAGTTTGATGGTTTCTAATGTATCCAGTCAGCCATTACAAGTGGTACCCACTACAGAAGGATAAGGTAAACTAAATCTGAAATGATAAGCTCAGAAGGTTCACTCAATCATTTAGGGACACCTATAGTGAGAATGAAGAGACACGGTTAGACAAATAACAATAAATTCAGACAAAAACAAGTTACCTGCCAAAATCTTTTCTCCATAGTTCGGTATTTGCAACCAACAAGCAATCCATTCCGTCTGTAAGTAAAAGCAATTACATTCTGCAGAAAACTTCAAATGTCATCAGAAGTTCTTCATTTGTAAATACATTCACACACATTTTCATGGTTAAAGTGTAAAATATTATATATCTGAATCTCATTACTTCAAATCACTAGTATACAGTTGTATATCCTTGAATACAAACAAATTGGTCAGATTTGTCCAGACCTTTTGAAAACAAATTTTGCATACGCTTCATCAGACACTAATGTAGAGGTAAAGATTGGAGATAAAATCATATCACAAGTGTCAAAGTTTAAGTATATAGGAGATGATGGTGAAATTGAAGGAGATGTTATGTATAGGATAAAAGTTGGGTAGTCCTTTATGACTATAATGTACATATTAAGCTTAAATGGAAGTTTTACTAAATTATTATAAGACCAAGGATGCTATATTATAGTGAATTTCGGATATTAAAAGGACAACAAGAGAGAAAAAACCAAGGTAGTAGAAGTGAGGATGTTAAAATGAATGTATAATCGTACAAGAAAAAATAAGATTCATAATGATTATATACAAGGAAAAGATTGTGTGGCATCTATCAAGGAGAAAATGATAGAAACTCATTTAAGGTGATTTGGAATCTTTAGCTTTGTAAAGAAATGCAGAGAGAAACCAAGGACACTTGAGGAAATTATCAAACGAAAAGTAGAGATTTTGTAATCACAAAATAAAAAATGAGAGGGTTTATATAGGCATAGTTCAAAATACCTTGTTGTCGGACATTTGCATTACAGCATTTCTGCTCAGAGTTTTCTCTGATATCAGTCTCTCCTTGAAGTATGCAATAAGCTAGAATAGGAAAGTAGAAAATTAATACATGTGAACAATCAAACTAAATGTTATGAAATGGAAAAGAAGTTTCGGCACACACAAGATCACATAGAGACCTCGTTTCTACTCCATGCATACATTGCTTGGACATATATGAAGCTATTAACCATCAACATCTGGTAATTTGATTGTATATCGGAGCTCTACAAATCACATCATTGGTCATACTCTTTGTAGATTGTTTAGCTACCCAATATCTTTGATAATTAAAAAATCACTAGGTATGCAAACTGCCAGAAAAACTTGGTAATGTTGCTTATGGCCATAAAGGGTGAAAACGTAGTACTGAGTCACTGAAACAAATGTTGCCCTTGATGTAACAAAGGCTAATAGGAAAGAGAATAAATATCAAAGAGAATTCAACTTGGATTAACGAGGGAAAAGAAAATGTTAAAAAAAGAATTCCAATGGGTGCTGCTGTACCTTAACTAAAAACTTCAAAATCTCGTTTGAGGCACTAGCAACTAAGATTGGAAAAAGAATGACAAAGCGTAAGATAGTTAAAACTCAAAACACATATACTTGGCCTAATGCAGAATGCATCATGGCCTCTACCAGCCACATTATTTGGAAGATGAATCACCCTTTACTTATAAAGAAATGAACATTTATTATTCGAACATAATGACATTTTTTGCCATTTAATTAGAAGAGACCTTTGAAAGACCTCTAATAAAACAACAATGCAAAGAAATTTTAGAAGAGTTCATTTCAGAAACTGGTTGTCGTTTGTCAGGTACTAAGTTAAAGGGTCATTTTGAATACCTTAGGACCCAGCGGCTCTAATCCTAAACTCTCCTCAGTCATTGTTCCGTACGACTTTTGACCAACCCTGCGGTACAATTCTTTGTCATCTGCAAAAGCCTATAACCAACTAGTTATATATACATATATTTGACCAAAACCAACTAGTTATATAAAAGTATAGCAAACTTAGAAGTTACATTTGAGACTGAGAAGAGACAGGACCACATTATTTTACCTGACCAGCCCACCCGCATGAAGTTCGAAAACACCTCCACATTGCAAATTCACTAAAGACA